ACTTGGTTTAACTCTTGAGGAGGGTAGCCTGAGTTTCCTGTGTGAGACAGAAGACCCTCGTTTCACATTCCAGAGAGTGTAGAACAAATTACTGCTGTCTGTTCTAATCTGTCTAGGGTTAGCAGAAGAATTGATATTCATTTCTTCATTCCTGTTTTTCCTAACTCAGAATATACTCAAGGTAAGGGGGCTGGGGCGGGGGCTGGGACTGGGGCGGGGGCTGGGACTGGCTCCACTATTGGCAGAGCAGAAAGGATCCCAAGGAACTCTGAGAAATGCTCCTGCCAATTGAGGAACCAAGGGAGAGGATCTCACCAAGTGAGCTGATCCTAACAAGTAGCTGAATTCTTAAGAAAGGGAGATGGTGGATGAATCACCAACATTCCAATATAAGCAAGGTTCCCTCCCACCCCCCGCCCTCATGTGTGCACAGACTCGGGCAGGTCTGCAGACGCACCTCTGCGGACAGGGGGTGGGGGAATACATCACCATCAAGAAAGAATAACAAGAAAAGTGATGATTTCCCAGAAAAGAATCCCCAAAGTGATAACCCAACCTCTTGAGGAGAAAAGCATGGGCCTTACAATATGAGTTTACAAAGGGAATGTTTCCCCTCCAGCTGTTTCCTCAAAAACAGTGAAGTCATCTGCCCAAGAAAAACACAGAGAGATGATGCTCACTTGATGCTCATTCTCAATGCGGATGAAGGCTTCTCCTCTTTTGAACGACTATTGGTCTTATGATCTTATATACTGTGTTTTCCTCAAAGAATTTTTCCTGTTTAAATGCTTCCCTTTTGTATTTAAAAGGTTTTTATCGATTTCATTTTCTCCATGCCAAAGCTAGAGTCTCAGACTTCTATAATGCTTGAGCTCTTTCATGGGTATTTTTCCCCTGCAAAAAGGGATTTCTGAATAAAAGGATTCCTTCACAGAAGAAGACTGATGAAAGAGGAGGAAAGGAATATTAAAAATAAATAGAAGAAAGGGAGCTCTGGCAGCCTAGTGGCAAGAAGCTGTGCTGCAATCCCGCAGACACACAGTTCGAATCTACCAGATACTCTGCTGGAGGAGGGTCAATCTCCTCCTGTACCAGTCAGACCCAATTTGATGGTACTCTAGATTTTTTTTTTAAAAAAGAAGATATTTGTAAAAGTCCTATATGAGGAAAATCCTACCAAAACAAAAACATCCAAGCTAAAAATGTCAATTGTCCTATGGTAGATTAATTATTATGAGAGAGAAAAAACTTCTGTTTGTGAAAGCCACCCATGTGTGATATTTCTCTTAAAGCAGCACTGGATAACCAAGACATTGTCCAAGAAATCTTTGTTTCTTAACACCAGTAAAAAACCCAATAAGAAAGGCCTCTTTCTAGCTGTTTTAGGAAGCTGAGAATAGAACTATATTCCTACATAGGTTTTCAGTGGTGGTCATGCATATTTTCCCTTTGTTTAGGAACCACAGTCTCTGACCAGTAAACCCAAGTTGTTTGACGTGCAAGCTGATAAATAAGCGTGCAGGGCAGTGTTTGGTACATGGCAACGGCTGTACACACGTTTGTTAAAAAAAGTACATCCCTCATAAATGAAACGGGTACACCAAGAACTTGGCCAGGACATTTTAGGAACTTCAGAACTCCTGCCTCAGATCAAAGGCTAAAAAAACGTCAAGGAGCGGCTTTCCACAAGAGAGCAGTCAGGAACCCAGGGTGTGTCTCGCCCACACGCCTCTCACACAAGAGCCGGTTGACTTGGTCCCATTAGCATCTATTGTGCACAAGCAGCTGCCTTAGACGTCACAGACGCGGAAAAATCCTCCCTGATTATTGGAATCATCAGTCCTTTTCCTCTTCTCCAACTAAAAGCGGTGGCCTTAATTAAGACCCAAAGTCTACAGAGGATGCAAGTGCGTCTAAAATTGTGACTTCTGTATTTCCACACACTCGGTGGCTGGATGGCCTCCCGTCCCTCCCTGAGGGGAGCACCCAGCTCCCCACTGTCATTCAGAATGAGGGGGCCTCTCCCGTGTGCTGACCATCAGCCCCGTCCCACCTTCTGGGCAGCGGAAACCACCCCTGCGCCCTCTCCTCCAGTCCAGCTGGGACTAGCTGGGCCTCCGTCCCACCTTTGGCTCCTGCCCACTGCTCCCGCTAAGAACTCCAACACCACAGTTCAGTGGAGGTCTGGGCTCCGAGCCGGACAACAGCAGACTGAAGGAGCGGGGGACCCAGTCTCCTTCACACAACTGGAAGCCAAAGACACTACTCCTAGGACTAACAGAATCTTCTCAAGCCCACGGCACGTGCTGCTCTCCACACTGACATACTTTATATTGACTGGGGTGAAAGCGTACAGAGCAAACTATTTTTTCCTCTAAACTATTGCTATGGGTGGTTGTAAGAGGCAAGGATGGTGACGCTTCCATTCACATACTTTGGGCACACTGTCAAGAAATGCTGGGCCTCAGAAAAAGACATCACACTGGAAAAAGTAGTTATGAGTGATGGTAGGTGCTGATGAGTAGACTACGACTCACAGCGACTCTATGAATGTTTCTGTGCCATCCTCTCAATCTCTGCCACACTTGGGCCCACTGTGACCATCACTGAGCGCAGCCAAGAAGAGAAAGACCTTTAATGAAGTGGACAGACAGAGACTGCAACCATGGGCTTCAGCAGGGCAGAGGTCACGAGGACAGTGCCAGAGACGGCAAGGGTTCAGGCTGTTGGTCACAGGGTGGTTACGAAGGGCAGTCAGCTTGACGGTGCCTAATGGCAACTCCTACGCATTTTGTTTATAACACTTGAAGGCAATGCCCACGATGACAGCACACTTCCTACTCTATCCCTGTGTTCACCATTTCCCTTCATTCTTCTTTCCTATCCTGTCCTGACTTCTGAGCTGTATTCGCAGGTATAAGCTGACAGTTCATGACTGAGTGTTCTAAGGGGTATGGACCTCCCTGGTGCTGTTACTCACCTTATCACTAACATTGATCCTCCATTTATCATCCGTCATTTCCCTGCGAGTGAGCTCAGTTCTAGGCGTGCTCCACCCAGCTCTCAATGACTGACTTTTCAGAAATAGCTCAACAGGATTTTCTCTGGGTGGACTTGAACCACTAGACTTTGGGTTTGGCAGCTGAGCTCAACCCAGAGAGACTCCAGGATCTCATACACAAAGTGAATAGTGAAGCAGAAACACAAACTCGGTTCCAATTCATTCCTCTGGAAACCTTTTATAGTGAAGTGCTTTCAAGTTGATTTCAAGTCCTAACAGCCCCACAATACAGAGGGAAACTGCCTTCTGGGGTTTCTTGGCTCCCCTCTTCCTGTGCTCAATCCTCCCAGGGAGCACCTCTTCTTGTTGTCATGTTCCACCCAGTCGGAACCAATGCCCAGCTGACACCCCCCCCCCCCGGGTTCTCAGAGGCAGTAAATCCCACGGGAAATGCCCATCTTTCTGTGGAGAAGGGAGCAGATTCAAACGTTCAAGCTTTTGCGTTAACAGTGTAAACTTCTTTGGATTCACCAGCTGCTCCTCGGGAGAAGGATGGACAATCTCCTCCGGTGTGACTATCTGCCTCTGAAAACCTGCCGGAGTGTCAGCGATGGGTGGGTTCTGACTCGAATACATGTGAGAACAGGGCATTGGAGCTCATGGGCACACAGGTGGGTTCAAACCACCAAACTTTCAGTTAGCAGCTGATTAACAGTTTGTTTTATAAAAAATAATTTTTACTATTTTTTATGTGTATACTGTCAAACCAGATCTGACTGGTACAGGAGGAGATTGTCCCTCCTTCTTCAGCAGAGCATCTGGTGGATTCAAACCGTGCACTTCTGGGATTGCAGTGCAGCTACTTGCCACTAGGTCACCAGAGCTCGCTGCAGCCAATTAATTCGTAACCTTTTCCACTTGTCTGATTTCATTTTTGCTGTTTTCAGAGGAGAATTGTATATGCATGCTTATTTATTCAATAAATCTCCCCCTCCCCCCGCTCCCAGCCAGTACAAATGAGACCAGAGCTGTGTGTTGTCACTGTGGGAGCTACAGAAAAACTAAAGCCTGGTCTCTGCCCTCCAACCAGGCCTGCAGCCAAGCCCAGGCCAAGGAGAGAAAAGCCTGAATGCCAGGCGCCCTGGCTCTGCCTGCCTTCACCCCTGGGGAGAGCAGGCCCCACCACCACAGGGCTGACACAGCGGATGTGGGCGCAAGCCTTTCATCTCTTGAATGTTTTTCCCTCACAACATTCAATTGAGATGTTCCAGCAGCGAGAATCCTAAAGGCCTGTTCACAGAAATGGGTTTCTTTAGAATCTGTTCCCCTCTCTCTTCTGAGAATGTCCATAGAAGGGAGGGGCAGGCCCAGCAGCCTGTAGGCTGGCACCGCCTGGCGGGCAAACCCCTATGCACACTCACTGTTCTGTGTGGCTCTCCTTTCTGGTCCAGGTAAGCCCGGATGGTGGCCAGCCCGGCGTACTCCCCCTGGGCTCCACTGCAAGAGAAGAAGGCAGGGATCAGGCCTGTGAGTCCTTCGCATCCATTTGCCCGTCAGTGCCCCTGGACCAGGCATTCACCAGCACGTGGCTCGGTCACCCTCCCGGGCCCTGGGAAGGCTGTCCAGGTTCTTGTGTGAGTCACAGCCTGAAGCAGTGCCTGGTAATGCCCAGAAGCTCCCACTTCTTCTCAGAACCATCTAGAAAAAGATCTTTCTAATTATAGAAAATCACAACGATGGAGAGGAGAATATCAGGAACCCCCGCTTACCCACTTTCAATAATGATCAACTAACTGTACCCCTCCTTAACCCCTCACTTTCAACAAGGCTTCTGGCAAGCAGCTCCCAGCATTGTTTCATCGGTGAAAGTTTCAAACAATGTCTTTCACAGTTAAGGTTTCTTATGTTGTTGTTGTTAAGTGCTTTTAAGACCTAGACAGCTCATAGCAACTTATGAACGAAAGACCTGAACACCTGTATAACTTTTGTCGTTTCTCTATGTTCATTGTTTCCAGAGGCAAGCCATTTCAGAAGCAGATGTCACTCCTGCTTCCAAGCTTGTTTTAATCAGAAAGCTCCACCAAACACTGTCCACCACGGGTAACCATTATCGCATTTGACACATCAGTGTCACAATGGTTAGCATCACAGCAACCAACCACGAGTTACCTCTGTACAGCAATGCACAGACCAGAGCTATACCACTTAGAAGAATGTCTGACTAAAAAGAATTAAAACCAGGCCCCGTACTGCTGACCAAGTGGGTTTTAAAATAGGAGGCCAAATCACACCATCTCACACCCTTTAGTGAGTCAACATTCCACCCTAATCTTCACCAGAACCAGCAAACAAGCCTCTGTAGAATCTGGCTCCTACAGACTTCCAAAATGCATTCCAGCCCCATACTGCTGACCAAATAGGTTTTTAAATAGGAGGCCAAATCACATCATTTCACACGCATTAGCGAGTCAACATACTACCCTAATCCTCACCAGAAGGTTTCTTATATTATGTTAAAAATGCATATATATACATATATATACCATTTCCAATTTCATGTGCGCAAGCCAGTTACACTGGCTCCATTCACCTTGTACAACCATTACCCTTCCATTTCCACATCTTTCCATCATTCCTACTGGAATTCAGAGCCCCTTTAAGCAATAAGCCCCATCTTCCCACCCAATCGCCCCCTAGTAACCGTGGTTGAACGTGGTCTCTAAGCATTTGCCTGTTCTCATATTTCACTGAAGTGGGTTCACACACTCTATCCTTTTGTGTCTGACCTATTCTACTCAGCATCTTGTTTTCAAGGTCCAGCCAAGTTGTGTGTTGTATTATTCTCTTTACAGCTGAATAAATATGCTGTTTCATGGACAGAATCTTGGTGGCGCAGTAGGTCAAGTTTTGCTAACTAAAAGGTCTGAAGTTTGAACGTACCAGGTGCTCTAAGATTGAAGGAAGAGGGAGTCTGCTTCGAGAAAGCCTCACAGCCTTGGGGACCGTCTGGGGCAGTTCTGCTGCACAAGATAGACTGGATCTCACATAACATACCACCTCAGGGCCAGAGAACAAATCCTAGCACCGACTCGTGGGCAGTGAGCTCGTTTCTGTTGTTCTTCTGAGGTGGACAGACCACCTTGCTTATTCATTCCTGTGCTGGGTCAACGTGGTGGGTTCTTTCTACCTTGTGGTAACTGTGAGCAGCGTTGCTCAGAATCTTTAAACATCTGGGGAAGAACTACCTTAAAAATATAACTGCAACACAATTATCACTCTAAGTAATTAATGATTGGTGAGTACGACTCTAGGCACCATAGTTTCAATTGTTTCTGTGAGAGTTGGACCATGAATTGGGAAGATCAAAGAGCTGATATATGATGGTATTGCCAGAAAGAATGCACACGGACTGGTGGAAGGACAGACAGATCTGTCCTGGAAGGAGTGCAGCCGAATGCTCCTCGGGGGTGAGGAAGAGGAGGCTTCGTCTTGCAGGCTTTGAATGGGCCATCCGTCAGGAGGAACTAGTTCCTGAGGAAGCACAAGCTGCTTGGTAAAATCAGAGCAGTGAAAAAGAGGAAGGCCCTCAGCGAGGCAGACCGACCCCGCAGAAACGGCCGGATCCTGGGCTCAGACATGGGAAGGGTGGGAGGATGGTGCAGGACGGAGCCGTGCCGTGTTGTCCAGGGGTCACAGTGACAAGGAACTGACACCACCACACTGCCTAACCCCAAGAGAGCCGTGAGCCTGGCATCAAGACAATCACCCCCCCACCCAGGGCCTGCAGATGAGAGCAGCGCTCTCCCCTCGCCATCCACAAAGGCAACGTTTATAGGCAGTTAGTTGCAGATGAACAGACATTCCTGAGGGTGAGGCCGCAGTAGACCGTTAATGTGCCCAGTTGTCTGTGCAAGAAAGGGGAAGTGAGTAATAGCTGCTCAGTTCCATTCAAAATAAGTACGTCATCCACGCCACACACCACACCATTCCTGCGCCCTTTGAAAATGAGTGGACATGGAGTTGTTTTAGCCTCTGGTCAGCCCATCATACTAAGTGCTTTCAAAAGCACAAAAAGCTCAAGAATAAATACAATTTTCTTTCCAAACTAAAAAGTAAAGTTTAAAGCATTAGAACACTTGCTTTCACAACCTCGCCAGCATTTGTTGCTTGCTGTTCTGTTAAATTTTGCTATTTTGACTGGGGTGAAATGATAT